GCGGTGGGTCTGGACCAGCATCTCCCAAGATGCGCCCTCCTGGCCAGTTGGACACATGACCACTTCCTGCATTTTGGCCTCCAGCAGCTGAGGAAAGAGGCAACAGATAAGGACCTCTCCACCCTCCTATCCTGCACACCTCTGTAGTTGCACCCACAACCCATGCCTGCCTCCAGGGAGAGAAAACCTCCTCCACAGCCCATGCTATGATTGCCACTGGCCCAGGCCACCCCTCGCCTCTCCGCCCAGCTTTGCTTATGGCCGTTGTCCTGTCCCTCTGCAGCACTTCCCCCCCCCCCACCTCTGCCCCATGCCCACCTTGGAGGGACAGCTGGAAAGCAGCGGTGATGACGGACGGTTCCCTGAATGGTGCCTGGGACCCTGTTTATAATGGTCAGCTACACAAACAGGCAGTTTGTGTTGCAAAAGCTGCTGGACTGGGCGGGGGGCTGGGCTGGGGTGGAGTGTCCCGCTGGGCAGTGCCCCTTCCCCCTCCCCTCTCCGCAGCCCCGAGCTGTCGACATCTGTTTTCATTGGGGGCACTTTGATGCTGGCTGCTCTTGATGGAAGGCAAACAGAGCCCTGGCGGTGAGTGAGGACAGGGGCTCCCCTGCCGTCCCATCTGTAACAATGTGAGGGGAAGCTCCAGCCTGGGCCTTACAGGGGGCCCAGCCCTGCCTGTGCGTGCAGTGTTGGAAGGACTTGAGCATCCCAATGCGGTTGCCTTAGCAATAACCATGGGCATGCAGGATCACACCCGTGCACTGTGTGACTCCTTACCATGTCACATCAGAACCCCCTTGACCCGTGGGCCTGATCCACACTTGTGCTTCTGCCATCAGCTTGTGCTGCACGTGGTGCCTTGCATGCAACATGCTAAGAGGACGTGATTTAGGGGCTCCAGCATGGCCACGTAGCTGTAAGCAGCCAGGGGCCACGGTGAGGGGTGCAGAGTGAGAGCTGAAATATTGCCTATTGTCACTGACTGTCTTGCCTGTCTGTGCTGGGAGAGCTCTGGGGGTCAGTGCTATGAGCACCCAGCTGAGCCAGGCCCATAAGGTGGGCATAAATGCATGGAGGAAGGAGGCTGGTTTGGAGCCATTTCCAGCTCAGAGTCTCTGCAATTGGCTTCCTTCAGCACAAGCAGCTGCACCTGTGTCTGGCTGCCCTGGCTCCACTGCAGGCTCCTGCTCTGAAGCACTGGCTGTCCTTCAGCAACACCCCAGAGCAATCCACTGGCCGGCTGCACCTGCTGGGACTGGGAGCTCCAGGGTAGAGGAGGCTGAGCCCTAAGCCATGCCAGCTGCCGCTAAATCACTACAGGGACTTCCCAGGGTTTCTTTCAAGTCCTGCTACTTGGTTGAGTACCTGCGGGCCCCTGGGTTCACCGTGCAGCCAGGGGGGCTCCCTACAGTTCTCAGACCCCTCTGGACAGGAGAAACCTTGAGACAGGATGCTCTGAAGGGCAGCATCTGGTTGCTAGGATTTTAGGAGGAGGATGCTGGGAAGCAGGATACCAGCTGTGTGAGACACACCTCTGGGATCAGCTGCTGGAGGACAAGATGCAGGAAGTGGTCATGTGTCCAACTGGCCAGGAGGGCACAGCTTGGGAGATGCTGGTCCAGACCCACTGCACTGCCCAGGAGAGACCTGGAGGAACCTGAGAAGGGGCTGGTGGAGACTGCGCCTGCAGGCACACCGCTCCCCTTGCTGCTGGGATGTGGGAGTGATAGCAGGGCTGGGGGAGTCACCACTCAAGGCTGCTGTTCACTTGGATCTGGGCACATGGGACTCTTCTTGGATGCATGCAGGGCAGGGAGAGGAGGGCAGCATGCCTGGGTGAGCTGGTGCTGATAACAAGGGGAGGGAATTAAAAGGGACAGCACTAAGTCTCCCTGCACCCAGCCAGCAGCCCAAACCCAGCCCTTGCTCTGAAGCACTAGAGAGAACCAGAGACAACCAGCCTGATATAGTCAAATCAGGGGAGAAAAACAGGGTGAGCCATTCAACACAGCCGATGGAGGAACAGTCACGGGCTGAAAAACTCATTGCAACCAGCTGCAGGAGCGGGCTGAGACTGAACTGTGTGTTGCAATCAATGAAGGACTGAAGTCGAGGGTCAAAAAGCTCCAAGGAGCCTCCCGGAACCCAGACCAAATCAGTCAGTGCAATGACTCTTGTCCATCTCAGTGGAAGATGAAGCTAAGGCCAAGCCATGCACTAATGCCTCTTGGAGTGTAAGACCAAGGGTTGAACTGCTTGACCAACCTATTAGCAGTGGTCTCTTGCCCTATTCTCACCCATCCAGCTCTGCTGGCCCGAGGCTCAGTATGGCGGCAGCTCCATAGGGCTCTGCTGCCTTTGGGGCCAATTCCCAGGATCGCTCGCTTGGCTGCAGACCTGGGCTAGGAGCAAATGCACCAGGGGCCCTCTGGCTCTAGGCCTTTAGGGCTGCCTGCCTTGACCACAGATCCAGTGTCCCCTCTCCTCATCCAGTGGGCTCCACATCTGTCCTTACCCTTGCACTGTGGGAAGGAAAGCCTCTGTGCACCCAACTCATGCCCAGCAACCATTAGTGCTTGGTCAGGGAGAGTGGCAGGGGGCCTGTTTGCAGAGGTAGCCTTTGTGGGACAAGCGGGGCTGCACCTCCTGGAGAGCCAGGTGGAATCTAATTCCCCCCCAGGGCCCTGTCTGCACCCCACAGTGCTGCAAGCTTCCCCAAGCAGTGCCTGGGATGATAGTGCCAGCGTCACTGCCCTCATCATTCACTTCCCCTGCACACCCAGCTCCCCTGACTTCCAGCAGGAAGGAGGAGCCCCCAAAATGATGTACCAGGAACTCCATTTCTTGAGGGTCGGCAGACCTGAATCCATGGGGTCTTTCCCCTCTGGAAGAGGGCCCATGCAGCTGCTGAGTCGCATGGGGCCCCGGATCTGGCAGGCAGCTCCTTGAGGGTGGCATCACACCTCTGGGGTTTATGGAGGCCCATTTGTGCTTCGCTGCTGTGTGACAGGTGGGCTCCGTCTCCAGAGGGGCCGAGACCCGCCGCTCCCTGCCTTTGATCTCTCCTTCCAGCCTGGTGCCAAAAGAGGCCTTTGTGAACAGCAGGGCAAAGCCAGGGCCCTGGGAATGTGTCACCCCGGTTTTTCAGCTGCCTGGGCTACACTGGCTCTCCAAGCCTGCTTACATTGACCGCAGCCTGGCTCCATTGCCCCCCCGGGAAGGATTGTCCTGGGTGGGACACACAGAGCTCCCTACTCTGTTGCACAGGGCAACAGGACCAGAGAGAGGCATCCCAATAGCCTGATCTGTGGAAGTGAACAGGGACCCTCTTCTCCTACCCCCTTGCCCCAAAAACTGAGACAGGATGGTCTTTGCCAGCATGGTACCTGCCCAGCGCAGCCATGGGATCCCAGCCTCCTCCAGCCTAGCAATACTGGGAGGCTTTCCCTGCTCCTCCACCTGAAATTTTTAATTCCATCTCCTTCCTTTCTTTGTCTGTTACCCTGCCTGAGGCCAGCAGTGAGGTTGGGGAGGGATGTAGCTAAGCAAATACTCCCTTATGCTGCCCCACTCTCATCAAGGGTCTCCCCTCCACCACCTCCCACATCCAGCAGCCATCCCCACTCGTCCGCTCCCCTTGCCACACACCTGGAGGAGAATTAAAGCCAGCCATTGTAGGAGCCAATCTCACAACACAGCAGTATCCCAGCATGCTCCCGAGGGCGGCAGACCTGCCACAAATACCTGCTAACTCCAGACCAAGGCCAGGGCAGCGGGTTATAATGGTGTCCCCCGCAGCTTGGTAATCCCCTTTTGTCTCCTATTCACAGCCAGGTCTGTGTTTGAGAACGAGGAGAGGGCTTGCCAGCAGCGGTCTCAGGTTATCTAGGGTAGGAACTTTAGGAAAGAGATGTCTACCGAGAGAGGGAGAGCACCCCAAGGCGTGTGATCGAGATGCCCATTAGGACAAAGCCAGGGCCGTGCTCATTCTGGATTAGTGACAACCCTGTTGCACCCTGCCCCAAACGCTAACCCAGCTCTTGTGGGCAGGATCCACTGCAGGGAGTCCCAGCCCAGCTCCCTGCACCTGCAGCAGGGCCCTGTGTTCTTCACTGCCAGGGTGTTGGGGCTCCACATTTACCTCTTGGGGTTGTGTGGCAGGACGGAGCGGCCTGGGTGACGCAGTGCATGTGGGCAAGAGCTAGGGCTACAACAGGGCAGAAAGGAAAGGTTGCTGCAGAGCTGTGGATAATGCTGAAGAGCAGACTATAGCTCAGCCCAGGCTTGATGCTGCTGGAAAAGCCATTATCCCACCTACTTTCAACCTGGGCCCATCTCTCAGCATCCCAAGCCTGCCATCATACTCAGCAGCACAGCAAACTCCTGGCCGTGGACCACCCAGCCCCCCCTCTCCTCCAGCCCCAGCACTGCAGGGCTCTTGGGGGGGGGGG